AGCCAGTGTTTGCTCCTGGGCTTACAGTGTTCATCTTTATCAGTCTACCCTTTCAGTGTTATTATTCAGTGTATAATGTTTTAGTTCCTCCCTCTTGTCCTTTATGCTACTGTTACAGGTTTTACTTCTACGAATGTTACTTCTACATTTGTTACTATGTTTGCTTTAAGCATTCAGTTTTCTGTTATTTTGTTTCCTTACATGTTTGTCATTCCTGGTGCTCTCGATTCCTTTGCCTAGATAAGTTTCCATGTGGGATTGTTGCCCGACCACCTGAAGGACAGTGTTTAACACTCTGAGCACTTTTCTGCTGGTAACTAATTTTCTCCGCTCTTGTCTGTTCGGAAATGCTGTTTGATGGGTGTTGTGTTGGCTGTAGAATTCCAGGAGGACAGTTTTTACTCTAGCAGTTTGAAGCTGTTCCATCGCTTCCTGGCTGGCTCAGTGTTTCACCAGAAACTTGTGATTCTCACCTCTTTCTCTGTATGTGCTCTGTCTTTTTTCTTTGCCGGCTTTAAGATTTTCTTTACCAGTGATTTTCAGCAGTTTGATGGTTGTGCTTTGGTCTGGTTTGTTGGTGCTTATCTCTCTTGGAGTTCATTAGGTTCTTTGTTCACTGATTTTATCATTTTCATCAAATTTGGAAAATAGTTGGCAAAAAACATTTTCAGCCATGTCTTCCTCAAATGTGTATATTTTACTCCCTCCCATGGTGAGTCCTCTAAGGATGGTGCATCAGACTGCTGCTTCCTGTGGCCCGCAGATTGCTTGCTGCCTTTGACAGGCCTGTGGCGCGTCTGCAGTCTCCGATCTCCCGCTGTCTGGTCCGCTGTCAGTGTCACCACGTGAGAATTTCATTGCAGAGACTGTGTTTCTCTTTTAGAAGTCTCCTGTATTTCTCCATGGCTGTGTTTTCCTTTAAATCAGCAGTGCTGCAATAACTGCGTGTAACATTCACACCTGCTCGTCCCAGCATCCTGTCATTATCGTGTCTCACTGGCCAGCTCTTCTCTTCATTATGGGTTCTCCCAATTTCTTGCATATTTTGTAATTTTATTTTAAAGGTTTGTGTTTTTTTTTTAAATATATCAGAGAGAGGAAAGGAGAGGGAGAGAGAGAGATAGAATCATCAATGATGAGAGAGTCATTGATCGGCTGCAGCCCACAACCCGGGCATGTGCCCTGACCGGGAATCGAACCCGATCGCCTGGATCCTGGGTCGATGCTCAACCACTGAGCCACACTCGACTGGGCAATATTTTGTAATTTTTGGTTAGGTATTTTGAATAGTATTGTTGGTGGATTGAATATGATGTTGGATTTGGTTTTATTTATAAATATATATATTTTTAATTAAGTCTTAGAGAGAGGGGAAGCGAGAGGGAGAGAGAAATGTGGCTATGAGAATGAAACATCCATTGGCAGCCTCCTGCACGCTCCCTGCTGCGGATGGAGCCCACAACCCCGGCATGTGCCCTAACCAGGATCAAACGGTGACCTCTGAGTTCCTAGGTTGATGCTCAGCCACTGAGCCACGCTGGCTAGGACACTGACTGGGGTTCTGATGGGACATCATCGAGTTTATAGATGTGATTTGAGGCAACTCGACATCTGGTGTTTTTGTCGCCCACTGACGGTCAGGAAATGATTTAATTAACGCTTCTTTCTCCACAGAGGCCTTGGTAATCTTGGCTAAAATAGTGTATGTCTTAAAATTTTTACCTACCTTTTGAATAGTGTCTTATATTTTCTTCATATATGTTTTTGCTCATGCTGGTGTAGAAAATACCCTTGATCTTTGTAGCTTGGTTGTGTGTCCAGCCGTGTAGCTGCATTCCACTCTTGTTTTAATTGCTAATTGGTAATGTTTTTAAAAGGGACTGGCTGGGAAGTGCAGGGAAGTCCCACTCCCACCTCTAGTCCTGGACCCAGTTTCTTCCTGCCCTGTCCCCACACCCGCTTGTGCTAACACAGTGCTGTTTGCAGCGTCCTTAGGTTATTTCTGATCTCCCCTGGAACTCATTCACTGTTTCTGAACAAGTGTGTTTGCTGCGCATGGGGGTGCATTGCCTTCTCCAGTTAAAGTCCCACCTATTCAGTTTGGCTGAGGGTTTTAAAAAGGAGTATTCCCTTGGGACATGTGGATCACACTCGCACCCTGTGCCAGGCCAGGGTCTGCGCTCGGGGCTAAGCAGTGAGCACACAAACAGAACCCTGTCCGTGGATACCTTGGTTCTGGGGCCACCTGTCAGGTGATGATCTTGTAGAGACCAAGGAGACAGGGAGTGGTGCACCTTGGTCTTGATCGAAGCTCTTCCTGCTTCCAGCGATGTGGCCATGGAGTCTCCTTTTGTCTGTCAGCGAGAGTCGGTGCATTGTGGGTCTTCTGACATGAAACGCACTTATTTACAGCGAGTCTCAGACAGCCTGTTGGAGTGTGCAGGAGATTGAGCTTCTGTAGAGAACAGGCTTGTAGACCAGGGCTTTGTCACGGCATGCTAGCTGATACAGTGAATATAAGGCCCTTTTCTGGGTTTGTTACCCGTTTTCTTTTAGTTTGTTGTAATGCTACTTCTGAAGCCAGCATTCTGCCTACAGGTCATGCTCAGGTTGGCTTCGTGGTGGCACCTCAGTTCCTGTCAAGGTGTGGACCTGCCTCATGTGTGTTGAAATCTTGGGGGCGGCGATTGTTTTTGTGCTTCTGATCTAGGACTGTGTCCCTCGAGGCCTGACTGCAGCCCCCACTCACACCTTGCATGCAGGGCAGAACAAACACAGGCTTTTCTTTTAAGGATGTGGTCTTTCCCACACCTAACCAGCTAACTTTCAGGGTTCACATCTGAACTATTATTCTACATTTAATCTGTTTGATTGTACATGAAATAATGGCTTTTCCTTGGACAGTGCCTGTGAACCATCAGAGGACCTGTAGCAGGTGGTGTTGCGCAGGCAGCCGCACTGACTCTCTCCCTCTGTTGCAGAGATCTCTATGGCCACCGATGAAGGCTCCCCCAAGAAGCTGGGAGGAGATGCCCATGTGGCCGCAGACGGGGCCACCAACGGGTCCTGTGAGAAGAGCGATGCTGGCAGGCATGTCAACGCAGCCGAGCATACTCAGGAAACCTCGAAAGCCAGCCCCCAGGAAGGTCCCAATAAATTAGCCCGGATAGCGGAAAACGGGGTTTCAGAAAGAGACACTGAAGCGGAGAAGCAGAACCACGTCCAGGCTGAGGACCTCACACAGACAGCCGTCGTTGGGAGCAACGGGTACTTCCTGGGTAAACCAGCCCTGCAGGAGCCAGCCCTGCGAGTCCCCAGCACCTTGGCACCCTCCCTTCCTGGTCATGCTGCGAAGACCCTCCCCGGAGTGGCCGGCAAAGGGCGGACTCCCAGTGTGCTCTCTCAGACGCCAGCCACCGCTGCACCAGCTAGGCCTGGGGAGGGGAGCAAAGACTCAGAGGACAAGAAGCCCACGGCACCGGGCACGGATGTCAAGGTTCATAGGGCTCGGAAGACCATGCCGAAATCCATCCTGGGCCTGGTAATGCGCCCCATCGGGTTGGGGTGGGGCGGCACCTGTCCTGCCGTTTCCTTTGTCTCCTCTTTGGTTGTGACCATGGCAGGTGGGCGTCAGCGCAGGAAGGAGAAGGGCCAGCAAATAGCAGTGGTCGCCTCAAGGCCGGGAAGGTTAGGAGACGCTGCTGACAGCCTGAGGGGCAGCGGCGCAGCGGGGCCCTTAGCATGCTCCCTGGGCTGTGCTCTTGTCGGTGCCCATTGCCCATGAGTAGACACATCACATCACGGACACCACTCCTGCTTTGGGCTGGGGGCTTTGCTTCCACCCCTGCACCCACACTAACTCCCTGGCAGGTGAATAGGCAGGACTCTTTAAGTGGGCCAGGGCCATGGTGTCACAGAGGGAGGGGACAAGGGGCCCCACCCAAGGCGCTCCCAGGTCTCCATCCCTGTACCAAGCTACCAGCTCAGAGTTTGTGCTGAGAATAGGTGGTACTTGACTGATTCATGCTGAACCAGTTGCCTTTGCTGCTGTCACCAGGTCGGCCACACGTGCCACGCGTGCTTTCTTTGTGTCTGCAGGGTCATGTGTGCTCCCCCAGCTCTGTGTGTTTGGGTTTGCCGTCAGGTTCCCTTGGGATTTCTTGCACCTGGCATTGCTGGTGTGCATTCTGATGCCAGCCTGGTCTGTCATCTAGGCCAGGTGTGTTGCCTCTTGGCAGCCTCCCCGTGGGCCCTGTGGGTCTGTGCGTCTCTTCAGCGCTAGGATATGCTTTGTACGTTGCCCTGTTTGTGGACGTGGGTCTTCTGTCTCCTCAGACGGCACCTCACCGGGGTCCAGCTTTGATGGGTGTTTTGTTTGTTTTGTTTTAATCTTCACCTGAGAATATTTTTTCCATTGCTTTTTTAGAGAGAGAGGAAGGGGGGGAGGGAAAATGGATTTGCTGTCCCACTTATTTATGCGTCATTGGTTGACTTTTGTGTGTGCTCTGACCCAGGGTCGAACCCGCAACCTTGGTGTATGGGGACGATGTTCTAACCAACTGAGCTTGAAAATTGTGTTTTAAAACCAGTCATTCCAATGATAAAGTGAGTCGTGCCGGCTCATGATAAACCCCTTGTCTTTGTAAGAGTGTAAAATCCAGGCATTGGCAGGCCGCATGGTCTCCCATCCTCTGGCAGTGCAGAAGCAGTTTGCTCCGCATACCTGGTGTTGGGTACGCACAGTAGATGCCTCCGCTGTTTGGGTAAAGAAAGTAGAAGCTTCTAGAAGGGAACCTTTTGTCCTGCATTGAGGTCCGTGTTCCCTTGGCTGGCATTGCAGCCCCATTTCTCTACCTGAATTGCTCATACTACAGGGGGTGTCCGCACAGTGGCCCCCGCAGCTTTCTCCTGATCTTTGTCACCACATCCCATGTGCCCACTGGTATTCTCCAGGTTCTCGGAAAAAGACGCAGCCCTGTTCTCTGAGCTCCATGGTTCTCAGTGCGGTTGCTGTGCAGTCCTGTTCAGTTGCACCTGAATTATCTGGAAGGAGACGTTGCATATGCTACGAGGGCTCATCCCCCCAGCTGAGGCCGAACTGCAGCCCCGGAGCTGGGGAGCTGGCAGCCAGGACACTGGGGTGGGGTGGCAAGGACTGGACTGTGTTGGTTTGGCTGCCAGGTGAGATATAGGCAGCTCTCTGCAGTCTGGATGTGGGTGGGGGGCGGGGTGACAGGTGCACTGCACAAGTGTGACAGGTGCACTCTGTGGGGTGTTGTTGGGGTGCCCAGGACCCATTAAGGGAGCCTCTGTGAAAGGCAGTTCTTGTTTTTATTATTTTTTTTGCTTTATCAAATAACAGAGTTTTAGCAAAACCTAGAATCTTCTTCCTTTTAAAAAAATTTTTAAAAATAACATCTTAAATTTAAGGAGGGGTTTTGTCCCTAATTAGCCTCATGTGGCTGTTTCCTCTGAGGTTTGTTTTTGCTCCTGTTCACAGCTACTTTAAGACCATGTTTTGCATTTGTCTACAAGCACTGGTGTAGGGTACACAAAGGAGCATACGTGAGCCTGTGTTCAGACAATGACTTTGTTAGACACACCCTGTCATGTTGGAGAAAGACTAGAGCCTTCGCAGGGCTAACGAGTTACTCTGAAACAGTGCTTCTTGGGCCGCGGGCTGGCACGGTGGAGGCTGTGGAAGGAGCTGTGCTTGGAGGAGGCTGGAGAGCATCCTTGTTGCAGGGGGAAGGACGCTCCAGGGGCCATGCTAGAGCCTGCAGGGTCAGGCCAGCTCCCTGCCAGTGGCCTGGGAGATGGGGAGGCCTTTTTTTAAAAAAATTGTAGTAAAATACACTTAGCGTAAAGTACACCGCCTTGACCAAAGTAATGTGTTCAGCTCTGACAGCACAGTGGCCTGTTTGTGGAGCCACCGTCATCTCTAGCACTTGCTTGTCTTCCCACACTGGCTGTTCCCATGAAGCACTGCCTCCTCCC